TTTCTCTATCTGTAGAATGGGTCTATTTTATGTGTCGTCTTCGCAATTCAGAGGGCCCCCTGCCTGTCTTCGCCTAGGGCCCCAAATTTCCTAAATCCACCCCTGCCTTATGGTATATGGTGCGTAATCTAAGATTGTCTGATGTCGGACAATCTGTTAAATGGAGAAAATGTAATAGCATCAAATTGTCTCTGAAAAGTCGTAAAACATTTTTTAAAGAAGTGTTTTAGTATTCTTTAGTGATTTAAGGGTAGAAATGAGAACTTTTATTATCATAATTGCATTATTTAGGGCAACCTGGATGAATATCTTCTTGCAGATGAGCTGATGGTACGGATCAGGTAGTGAGAATATGGACTAACCTAAAGTTTTTACCATGTAAGGAAAGTCCTGCTTTAACCTCCAGGTGGCGACATTTCTCCCTTTAACCAACATTCATGAGACAGAAAAGAAGTTTCTGACCTTTAAATAATAAGAGACTCAAAAATAGATTATTTTCTCTTATTTTTGGAAAGTAGATAAATCAGTTCATAGACTTTTCTGGCTTTCAATTATTTCCAGGCAAGGTGTATTTAATTCAGTTTAGACTTTTTAAAGATGAGGGTATTTACAGTAACTGGGGGTCATCCAGTCACGATGGAAGTGCTGTTATGTAACGACTTTGTTTTGATCTGAAAGGGGAAGGAGGAGTTTGAGAAGAACCAAAGGCAGCTTCTGGAGAAAGGAAACCTTATCAGACACAACAAGACGCAGCTGGAGCAGCAGCAGGTATGTCTACAGGTTCAGACCGGTCCCTGGAAGAACAGCACCTTCCCACACCGCCGCCGTCTCCATTACACCTAGACTCTTTAACATCTTTATCGGAAGTTATAACAAAAAAATATATATGTTTTTATTTAACTGGGATTAAACATAAAGTGTTGAGCTGATGTTAGTTTGGAGGTAAAAGGCTTTAAAGGCTTGTTTTACAAAAATAGTCTCTGGTTTTCTCTGAGCTTCATGGGATCAACGTTTAGGCTGCGTTCACAACACAAGTGTTGTAAAGAAACGCTCAAACACAGAAATCTGGATGAAACTGTGGTCCAGTTTCTTTGCTGCTCGACGCTCCGGATGTTTATCTGCTCCGTTCTGTAGCTTCCAGGCAAAGAGCAGCTTGGCTTTATTTACTTTATGAGCTGGAAAAATAGTTTGAACACATTTTTAAGGGAGAAATTCCACCCCCAAACATCCTCTGTTCATCAGGATTATGATCCCAATAAAATATATCAGATCTAAACATGAATTGACATTTACCGAAGACTCGCCGTAGCAACAGCCAGACTCTGTTTGCTGACTGGCGCCATCCAAAGGCCTTTGGCTGCTTTTTATTTTATTTAGGGGTGTCAGAGTAAAGGTTGGCTATGCTTCAGATTTGATTAATAATAATTATAACAATGTTATTATAAAAATATCTGAAAACTGTTCAGGGGTGTGAATACGTTTGTATATAATTTTATTCCATTTAATGGATTCATTTCATTCTGATTATTTTATTTTTAGGTTTTTAAATCTCATTTAGATTAAATTTGAGGAAAATAGCAGAAAGAAGCGGATCTCTGAAGCCCAGCCGTTGTTTCCGTGACGACAGCTGACTGTGATGCTCCTTTCCTCTCTTTAGATCAAACAGTTTGAGCGGCTGGAGCAGGAAGTCAGCCGGCCAATAAACAACGACATCACGGGCTGGGTCCCTTCTCCGCATCACCCTCTGGCCAATCAGCTGTCCAAGAACGGCCCCGGCGAGCGTTCGTCCTCCAAGCTCTGTCACGGTGACCGCCAACTGCTCCTCTTCTACCAGGAGCAGTGTGAACAAAACATCACCACCGTCACCAACGCCATCGATGCCTTCTTCACCGCCGTCAACTCCAACCAGCCGCCAAAGATCTTCGTGGCCCACGGTAAATTCGTCATCCTCAGCGCGCACAAGCTGGTCTTCATCGGCGACACGTTATCACGGCAGGCCAAGTCTCCGGAGGTCCGGGCCCGGGTGGCGCAGAGCAGCAACACGCTGTGTGAGAAACTCAAGGACATCGTCATCAGCACGAAGACGGCGGCGCTGCAGTACCCGTCTCCCGGAGCCGCCAGAGAGATGACGGAGAGGGTGAAGGAGCTGGCCGGGTGCACTCAGCAGTTCAGGATGGTGCTGGGACAGCTGCTGCTGATGTAGGAACCCGAACGGTGGCGTCCCGCTCAGCGGCGGGACCCGTGCACACGCCAGCAGCACGCAGGACCATCCGAGGCGCAGCTCTGATGCCTGCAGGAATCCTTGTTCTCCGGAGTCCAGCTGTCGCCCAGCTTCTCCATCCTCTCTGTTCACTGGGATCATTCCTCTCCGCCGCTCCTCACTTTAGGCGGCACCGAGGAACGTTTGGCGGGCTGTAAAATAATCCCTGTAAATATTCAACTTCCCTGATTAATGAGATGAAGAGAAGAAAAGAAGCATCTAAGAATAAAACTGATATGAAATCTTCCTGGTAGTTAAAGACGTATCAATCATGGTTATTAATAAACTGTATAATTATTGCTCTGATTCTTCTATCATTCTCGGTATGGATGTATAAATTCCAGATGTTATGTAAAGCTCTTTGTTGTAGTGAGTGCCTCCATCCTGTTTCCCCACATCATCTAATGATCTGAGGTTGCCCCGGCAACTCCCGTTGAAAGCTAAGCTAGCTCTCCCACCTGCACTGCAACAAAACAAAAGCATTTGCCCTTAATTTCTGCAGGAAGCTAAGATGAAGAGCCAATGGAAGGAGGATTACGATGAAAGAGTATTAGAGCCAGGCTAGAGATTTTATTTTTCTTCTATTTTATGAGAATAAAGTCATCCTACAACAACCTGTTTCAGAAAGAAAGCTTGGAGCTCCGCCCAACAGATGATGGCCGACCAGCTCCACCAATCAGCAACCAGAGTCCACTTTGACATCCTGCCCAGTTTGATGCTGCTGCT